ATATGTATCTAGTATTGCCATATTCATTGGCGTGAAAAAATACGGTACGATTTATGCACACTGTAATATTGGAATCGCATACGAGATAACGTTTGTCTTGCAGTCCACGTTTTGGGATATGTAAGTTCGGTCAGAATCAAAGAGTTCAGAACTACGTGAACTGTACGAACAGTTACACAGTCGTTAGCAAAATGGCAAACGATTAAGTTAAATATAGTGGAAATTGGTTGGTTTGGCATTGACGGTAAAATACAATCAGAGATCACAAAACGGTTCGCACAACAAAGGCGGCATATTCATTTTACGGTTCATTGCCTTTATAGTTAAAATACTTTCTCTGACTGCATTGAAATGAGAAATGTTCATAAATGATTTTATTCACAAAATAATTCACAAAACTTACAACAATATATATATATATATATATATATATATCGTACATAAAAAAACTTACTGATAAACAACAAATCACATTCACAACATGTACTAAAAGTAATACATTTATGATTAATGACTAATGAGTAACAAGGTATAATTACTCGTTACATGTGATGGGACACTATGAAAACACTGTATATTACGTAACGTATTAACACACGCAACATGTTACGTCTGAATAGGCGCTAAGAATATACAGAGAATATATGTTCGGATATGTTGTCATCATTTACACGAGGGTTTATATGTAAATGGCGCCACGATTTTCTAAACCTCCGATGAATATAGTTCAGTAGTATGTCAAGCGGTAGTAATAAGGACTTTTGTTCAAAAACCGGTGTCAGCTGCGGTGCGGATTTTGGAACAATCGGTTGAAATTAAGCTCGTGTTATTTAACCACGAAATCAATTTTTATATACTCCCCTGTGGGTGTTAAACTCGTCGTTCGTTTTACAGAATGAACATACAACGGCATATAAGCCTTCTGAAGGGTCAGCATATAGGTATGTTATTCTAAATTTCGATATAGTATGATTTCTGAAATTGTGACGACAAATTGGGTATTTGGGGGTAATTTGTGACTCGCGACATTCTTAGGTCCTATTGACTACCATTCTATGCATATACCGATGCCTACATTTTACTAAACCCAACAAACCTAAAAGTGCAACAAACTGAAAATTATTACATGCGGGTATAACCATAGGTGCATGTCGCCAGGGATGAGTTGGCAAAACTATTATTCATTACTTAGTATATAGGTGTGAATTGAAGATAGAATTTCATTTTATCATAGATTTACAAAAACAGATTTGGATGTTATAGGAGTTGCCAAATTGTGTGTCTTTTTATTCAGTAGTTCACATCTTAATAAATTACTCTATTGGGTTATCTAATTTATTGATAATAAGTGATATAATTGTGCCCTGAAAACTAAATTGCAATTTTAAATTAATTAAATTCTGATTTACATCTAATAATTGTTATTATGTAGTGACCCCCGATCGATCTCCAGCCACAGACACAGTTCCGCATATCGTTGACACAACCACAGCTCCTTACATTGGTACGGACAAATTGAATGGAAGCATAAAAGTATCTCTGCTCGTTGGTCACCAATACCAGTGCTCGTATAAATAACACATGACATAAATTACAAATGTATCAAAAGAAGAACAATTAAAGATTATACGCATTTTTTAAAACAAAATTTCAAATAAACCTTATACTTTTTAATATCGACCCAGTTCGTTATATGACGTAGCTTGTCATTTTCACGTACGTGGTGCTCATACAGCAAATGACCTATCACCACATGTCACTGACGGCGACACTGGAACCATTCATGCGAGTGTCAGTTTTATGGAGTTCGGCAAATGTTTTAATACCCCCAACCTACTAAATGCATAGTGCGGCAAATGCGCACTGTTCTTATGATCACGTGACATTATTTAATTACTCTTCTCTGTAAGCACCTTGAAATAGGATATGCTGCTCGTCGTGGCAATGGGCCGTCCCAAGGGAATCGACAATATTGGCAATATATGCGGGTAACGGCGTACTTTACGATGCAATTTTCTTAATGCATTTACAATGATAGCCTCTATTTCCGTCGCGATTACATTATTTTCTCGTTCGGGTGTAAAACAGGGGCACTAATATCCAATCAGTGTTATCTAACTGAAGCGATGAGTAGATTTCAGACAAGGTTTTCCTCACGTAACAGTACCTTTACATTGATTTAACTCCCCGAAGTATTTTCTATAACTCGATGCGACCGTGTCTTCAATTAGATTGAGAATTGACCGTGACGTCACCAATAGCTTAAACTTCTCATCAGTTGAGACAAAATTGAAATAGCACGTAGTTTGTCACTTTATAATGTGTTATTTCCAAATCAACGATGGGGGCTATGATTACTTGCAATGGATGTGAGTCACGGGTTTATTATCGCACAAATTATATCTCTTGTACACCGACTCCGTGACTGTACCTGATTATGAAACGACGCATTTGGTTCTAAATATACATGCTAGATTTGATCACAGACAAACCTACATACCCGAAACTGTTG